GGTAAACATCGACCAGACTACACAGCGCAACAACTAAGAAGACAGAAATCTTCAACTGCTCTCCTTCTTCTGCGGTAGGCCCGTTAAAGAAAAAGGAATTCCCATAACGAGATTCATGCTGTAAAGAGGTTTGTTTACAACTGGCTCTCACTCTGCCACAGGACCTCACCTCACATCACATCACCTCGTACACCTCGCCCATATCGAATGCCGGTCATAATGTGTCGGTGAAGAAGGAGTATTTTATCTTCATACTCATGCACATAATTTACGACAAATATTTTAATATGGCTTGCTAAGACAATTGTTCGCTCATCATCAAAACTTTCAGGATAATGCAAGACTCCATGATATGAAGTGTGCACGCGGATACAAACCGACAATCTTTATTGTTCTAAATAAAGGATATAACTTTTCAGGTGTGTTGTTTCAATAGGCGAGATTAGTATCGAACGAGGCAGGAATGTGATTACACATGGTAAGAAAATATTTTAAAGGAAGCGGTTCATTTCCCCAAGTCCTATCCTGACTTTCATTTAGAAAGACTGGAGAAACTTACGAAAATCCTCGGCTAGGATAACCTCTGTACTATCAATGTCCCAGCCAGACAGGGGCTCACAATCAGTCCTTACGTGGCAGATATAATTCCTTCATATAAAATAAGTACCAGAAGGCCCTCAGTCTTGTTCATAACAAACATCTACAGTGTCACACTATTATATTGAGATATGCTAAGTTGGAGCAAAAAATGTCCAAAAGTTCATGGGTTTGAACCCAGATTGCGTTGTGCCTGACAATCACATACCTACGGCTTGAAGGAATCCAACACTTTAAAGAAAATATAACACTAATGCACTAAATAATATTAACTGCTTACCTCATGTCTCTATCTCTGTCACCGCAAATGAGGTTCCGAAGCGCCACGTTTTGTATTTGTTTTCCACATCCTGTATACAGAATGAAAAGCAATGACATAATGCCTCATTAAGCCAAACAAATTCTTATTCAACACATCTAAGTTATTTTATATCAAAATATCTTCAAAGTTCTTAAAGGATAAAATAAAATCCAGCCGAATCTCACACTTGACAATCAAATGTTTGGAGAATTTCCTTGAAATTTCAACATCAGATGTAACCAGCGACCATGTTGATTGCACATATGATGTACTGTAGCATTTCCTTAGTCACTTGAGGCGATGAATATGAAATTTACAATCATGTAATCATAACAAAACACAAAGTTACTCAACTTAAAGACACATCACATGTAAAACTGACAGTAACAGATTCCGTCATCTCCTTCTCCAAATACAACGTTTCGTTCCCGACTTGGTTCTGCTTTTCGAAACACCGATGGACGGTAGGTACTAGAGATGGCTTAAGCCCGGTCTACACGTAACGTCTTATCGTACGTTTTGTTTGATCAGTTAAGTCGTATCAGTCAAAATGTTACGTATGGACAGAGAAACGGACGTTTTGCCTGAACTGAATGAAGATGAACGTCTCTCAGAAAACGGATCGGTTAGAGCATTGTTTTCCGGTAAAACGTCAGTCTTTGTAGCTTCTACCTGTCGCTAGAAATCTTAGAGTAGCAGTCAGTCTCTCATGGGGTGTGATAGCCCTTCTCATGGTAGTGTCCTTTTTTTGTATTTCTGGAGTTACTAACGATAGTAATTTCAAATAAGTGTCCGTATCCATTCGTAAATAATTACGCCAATCTCCAGGTTTATGTCGTAATTCCCGAAGCAAATTTACATGAGAGAATCTGCCCCTCTTTAGCAACCATCGTCTAGACCACCGTGAGCGACGAACAACTTTCTTTCTTTTCAATTTCACGAGACACAATGAAACAATCGCTACAAGTAATACTTCATCCATGGTATCTATGAAACTGAGTCTTACACAGAAAACCGTAGCTAAAACGTAAATAGTGTGGACATGGGATTTTGGTCAGTTTTACCTGACCATCTTAACTGATGAAACAAAACGTACGATAAGACGTTACGTGTAGACCGGGCTTTAGTCTTCTGTAGATGCACCTATAGTTTGTTACCAAGAGTGAGAGAATAACACGGTCTACAGCAACACGGTTAACATAATATAGTTAAATTTCTTGCTCAGTTTGATGGCACTTCATGCGATTGGAATCCACAAATTGAGCAATCAGCCTACAGATCACTCTAACAGCCGCAACTAACGCTGAATATTAATCATAACGAGTCCTTATTCCATCTCATGTACTAATTTTCGTTTTATGAGCTGTTTTTTTTGGGATCTTGGTAAGTTCGATTTCGTCTCATGTTAACCAGAAGTTACAATGGATCGATACGGACAAGACTGAATTTTTCATTTCGTTACCAACTTTTCTAAGGAACGTATCGCCTTCAGCTTCAGTGTTACATTTCAATCCTAACGCCGTCTGAAAGTTAAACCCTAAATATGGAGGTGATATGTTCTCGAGCAGCGTTGGTAACCATCTACAAGATTACACGTCGTCACAACCTGGAAGACCATCATGAACATCGCGTACCATAACCATAAGTCTCATGACAAATGCGTGGAATTGTGTGTACAGAATCGGGAACACACGTTTTCGCTTTCATATCGGATTTCGAAAAATTGTCTCCGCAAAAGTTAGTTACAGGCAGAGACGCACACATGCGTCACAGGGTTCACCCCTCCTGCCTGCGCCAGGCAGCCGGTGCGTCGCGGTGAACCAAGGGGCACGATCTCAGTGTCGACCGTCTCGCGGTGCATGATGGTCACTCGGTTATGGGTGTGAAGTGTTCCCGAACAATACTCAACTCCCAGCCAGCGACCGCGGAAAAGCTGCCTCATTTCGAAGTTTGAAAACCGTAAAATCCGGGTTTTACAGATGAAATAGATTCGTCAGCTGTAAAGCGTAAAGAGGATTTACTTGTACGTGTCTGGTGAATTTTAATTTCAATGTGGAGAGATTAAAGTACAATAATTAAAAGCATAAAACAAAAGCCACGCAAAATTAATCGGGCTTTTATTTATTGCGCGACATTTTTCTCGGATTGATTCTTAGAAGTGACCGTAATTACAGGAAGATCTACTGGTTCAAATCCTTACTCACCTTGAATTATCTGAGCACATGCTAAAGATAATTTCCTGAAAAAATATAGGCAAAATAGTAAAACGCGGTGTTGCAGTGGTCAAACTTTGTTTACAACCAGTCTGATTGTGAATATGTGCACTAAACTTTGACTTTCGTCAAGTAATTCAATGAATATTTAAATTAAATTCTAGGTGCGACACAGGAGCGATATCAAAATTATACAGGAATTCACATTTTAGTAAATTTCTGTTATCAGTTTTCTTTTATGATACTGTTTAATTCATTTTTAAGTTCGGAGTTAGTTAGTTACTTGTTTTTAATAATGTTCGCAAGCAAGACCCATAAAACGGACTGTAATATCCAAATCAATCCCACCTGCACAGGTGAACAACAAGGCACAATATAAATGAGTGTTTAGTAGTTCTCGTAATCAAAGGTATTTGGTTCGGAAGTGTCGATACCGCTGTCAGGTTCCGTAATTATTATCTACGAATTGTCTTGCAATTTAACATTACATAAACAATAATTTAATTTAAACGTAACTGTCACTCATGATCGTTGTAATTGATTCGATACATTTTATGATACACATACAAAATTGTTTGTTAGCTTATCATACTATATATTTATAAAGATTAATATAATTAATGAAACGAATTAGGCCTATATGATACTAGACGATATTCACACATTGAACTTAGGATACAAAGCGATGTATTTAAAAATATTTACAAAATTTAATATTTGAATAATAAGTTTTCATGATGCAGACGTATTGCTACATTCCATTCCACACCACATCACACTAAACCTATATCAAACTCTGACTAAAATTTTCCAAGAAATTTGCTATTATCACTGACCATTAAAACTCTTGGACTTCCAATTTACTAATTCTTAGACATTTTTCCAGTTTGCAATAGCTGGTTGGAGCTGAAATTAATTTTTGTGGCTCTATTTAGTTTCAATACAATAGGGCCCTCCTATATAATCTTTGCTCTTTTGAGAGACAGACTTTTTTCATAAATAAGTTTGGCATTACATCGCTACCCTTTCAAAAAAATAATTTACTGTGTGACACGCAAACTAAAAATGTGGTGAGATAATATTTTGGAAATGCATAATATACGCATGAAGAGAGTTAAATAAACGTAATATTACTAACCACACAGAAACGAAAGCAATAAGCACATGATTTTTGTTTAATTTATTAACAATCGCGAGTAATCAATACAGGTGAGCATACTTTAAACAGTTAATGGTTTTAAGGTTTTTCTTGGTAATCGACACTAGAGAAACGGCCATTTCAAATACACGTTCTTTACTTGGAAAACATTTGATTCCGAAGAAAACGTATTTGTAATTTACGGCATAAAATTAACTTTTTCCCGTATCCGCAGGAAATAAGCGTAATAGAAAGTCCGAACCGAAACCCTAGAGAAATAAAATACAAATAAGTGTGGAACGCTACATATGAACCTGAATTTTCGTTTATTAAATTTCCGATTTTTCGAATTCAAAATTCTTAACAGTGAAATCTGAACAGAGATTTCTCCCCGTCGGGAATAGCAAGTAGAGTCGACGAAACCCGTACCCGCGAACGAATATTTAATCTCTGTATAACTTATACTCTGTAGCTGATGAATCTGTTACTAAAGCTAGGAATTAGGACTTCGTGTGACGGCAGATAAGGCCTGATCTTGCGTTGAAACTGTTTGCAAATAACAGACGGGCACCATGGAGGACAACTCGACGGAGGTGTGGTACAGTGAAGCTCCTACCCCTAACTACAGCACTCATTTAGACACGTATCCGATTGTGAAGGGCTTCTTGGACTCTCAGTGGGTGTTACAGGAGAACATCATGCTCATAACTCTGTACCTGCCACTGCTCGTCCTGGCCGCCACTGCCAACATACTTGTCATAGTTGTCGTCATCAAATACCATTACATGAGAAGGTAAGTGGAAGCTAATGCTTGGCCTTAAGGCGATAATCCGGTTCACACCTCTTCGGAAATACCCGGCCTTTTATAGAATCCGAGGGCTCATTACTGTATTCAAAATAGCTCACCACTGGCCGTTAACCTGAGCCAGGTAAATCAAGTCCAAATCCTCACATACTATTCCTTTAAGATGCTCATTAATATTATCTACCGACTTAATCTCCCAAGTGGTTTATTCCTGTCAGTTTCTCAGATTAAAATTATGTGAAAATTTCTCATTTTTCCCAGGCTGCATTTCCCGCCATCGTTAAAGACTTCCAGGGAAGAAACTTTCAATTAGTTTTTCAGGCACTTCTCTGCAGGCCGTAATCCTAATCATTGGGTTCTCTAATCGCATTCAGGCAGGCGGCACAGTTCTTTAGATGAATTTGAGCCTTGGTGCACTCTGCGTCTCAAGACAAAACACAAAAATCGCTTACAAGCACTGGGAGGAATTCTCATGGAAGAAACTTGGCAAACCACAATCATTACAGCTGGTCTGTGGCCAGTACTTGAACCGGCTACTTCTTCAACACGAATCACACGCTAGTCCGCTCGATGGCTGGAATGTTTTATCCTAAACTGAAGCTTAAATGTAGTATTTAACCGGGAAGGGATGTGGTAATGGAGAAAACCAAGACAAAAATAACTTCTTTACACAGCGTATTCTAAGAATGTATTTAGTTTTAACGCGATGAAGAGTGATGATTTCATGGCTTGTATATTTTTGAAATCCCACAAGGGTAACTGAATAAATAAAGCGACAATAGAAAACGCATTCTTACACGTCTTCAAGTTTAACCAATAAAGTTATTTTTCTGTACACACCAGAGTGGGCAAACTAGCGGCCCACGGGCCACATCCGGCCCAAGACCACTTGTAACCGGGCTACTGAACTATTCTTAATTTGTTAGTAGTTACTTCAAGCTCATCTACTTTCTTGACTTCGAAGGATCTGAAAAAATTCTCGTCTGCTGCTTTACTTAAAAGTGTTACAAATTCTATTGACTCTAAATTCCTAAAGTCAAATTCAAGTTTTCGGATAAAAGTGTGTCAGACACAAGCTATTAAAGAAGCAATTTTGGAATCATATGTAACTTTATAGCGGTCCGTGCACAGTTCAATAATATTTATATCTGAGCATTTACTGTAGTGACTTCTAATTTCTTAGCTCTTGCGTCCAACAGGAAATCTATTCCTGTCCTGAGGGAAATAACAGATGGACCACCCCGGTACACTAATTCAAGTGGATTTCCACAGGTCACTAGGGAATCTGTGTGACGCATAACACCCTGAGTCACATATCTTAGGACAGAGGCGTGCAGCAAATCACTTGCGATTTATTTTAACTGTTCGCAGACCAACAGATTGTTTTCCTTTCAAGTTTATTTTCCAATTCGTTACTAGGTTAAAATAAAGCTTACAATAAGGTGTGTACAATGCGAGATATGTAGACACTGATCTTGCATGCTTATTCGTGCATTTCCAGACAGATATTAGGGGCAGACGTTGTAACCATGAGTAGTGGATGAAATGGAATCGGGAGGCTTATGCCCAACGGCTGATTCTGTTATCAGCGGTATCGAACTTCTGCTGTCATACAATTAATCATAATTATGAGTTATAAATGGAATTTATAAATAGAGATTTCAGGCTTTCACGGTGGCGAGTATGTAGATGGAGGGGTTGTTAGATCACAACCACCCAGAAGACAGCCTTATTAGAAATTTGCATAAGTTCTAGCGACGACCATCTTTGTGGTTTGAAGAAAGTTGCTCAGAAAGATGGTTACATTCACATTCCTATTTTAATATCCGACCATTCTTCTCTTTGATTCAAGTGCCACTTTGTACATCCGTCCAGATCTCAACTTCATGGGCGTTTGAAAGACATGAGAACATGTAAAGGAATAAAATCACTCTTGCATCTGCCTGTGGTGAAACTAAATTTCCAGGAACTTCGAAAAATAAGAATACCCTGCTCAAAAGTAAAAGCAGTGGTAATCTGCTTGCAGAAAACCTATTCTGTCCTCTATTTCACACTTTCTCAGACAAATATCTTAGTTCACACAATGCGCTGTGTACCGAGATCGTCTACAGGAAGAAAAATTCCGAACTAGACGGAGAAACTTCAAAGTATAACGCAGTATTATAGACTTAGAACAGTACACACATAGAAATATTATTTTATTAAACATATAGTTTTCAGACAATTTGATTTAGAGAAAATGTAACTATAAGATTCGACAGCGAAATTCTGAAATATAAAGAGAAATAGGTACTATACTATAGATATTATAGCCCATTTTTCATTGCTTTGTTTATTTCAGTACATGATCATAAAATGTGAAATGTGATCGAGTCGACACAGTATTGTATAAACTAGGAAATGTAGTCAGTATTTTTATTTCACTCCCGTTTATAAACATTTCTGTTCTAATTAATTTTACCTCCGCATATCACAGACGCAGGGTATGACAGGCGGATTAAGTTATAGGCCTGTTCGAAGGACGCGTTTTTACGAACTCTAAAATCACGCTCTTCTTTCATCAAGTTCATGGACCTTATTTGAATGTAAAACATTAAAAAGAAAAAGTCTTATATATATATACCAGTACTCTTAAACATATTAAACTTAAGAGACTCTTTGGTCCTTGAGGAAAAAACCCAGCGCTTTTACATTTTCAATTAAATTAGATGTTCCATCCTACCAATCAATGCAAAATCCATTTATACAGAATGTCTGTAATGCATTATTACTGAAAATTGAGCTGAATGTTTTCAAACAGCGTATTATTAAACGATTTGGCAAAATTAGACTACGTTTCATTGTACTGCTAACTTCATCGTGCTAAATTTAGATTCGCCGAACTCCATATGCTCTTTCGAAACCTATTAAATTGTTCCATTCACTCATTCTAACTGTCTGGTCTTATACATTCTATTGGACTTTATCCGTCGTCTGTTTGTAATTAAAATCACGACGTTTCGGAATTCCGTTCTTATACTTCCGTCTTCAAGTGATCGTTGAGACTACAAAACCCGAAGCCAAAGTCATCAATTATTGTTGAAGCAGATGCTTTAACAATGTTTTGACTTCACTCATTGCGAAACACTATACCACTGAATTCCTTTTGAAGTTATGTATGAACCGAGGCACCAAAAGCTGTCTGTGGGCCTATTTATAATCCGCTGACAGACAATTTGCAGTTCTATAAAAAAGTGTGGAAACGGGATTAAACACGTTCATTCACTCATGACCACAATGGTCCGAAAGAAGGAATTTAGAAGAAACAGATGCCTTCCAGGAGCTCTCAGACTGGCTACACAAACGCTGTCAGCATGGCTTCTACAGTTATGGACAAGAGAAACATTCTTTTGTGATAAATAGCAAAGCGTGGGCACAAAGTTATTTCTCGCTATGCTGTGTGAATCATTATGTTATTGATAAGTCTGTCGGTTTTGCTATCGGACGTTTCTCTACAGACGCCTATAAAGCCACGAAGCTGTAGAAGTGCTGACAAGAGCCGGGTAACGATTATCAGTTAAGGGTATTGTTTAGGCCTACGTGCCTTTGCAAAGTCATCAATCACAGCCTTCAATTTTCCATTAACTAGTTATAAAGTGCACAACCCTTCCTGAGAAGCTAATTGTAGCTCAGCTTTTACAAAAATAATCTTAATTCATTATGGCATCCAAAGGTTTATTACCGTGTTCACAACAGCCCGCCACTGGGCCCTATTCCACAATCCTCCAACCAAATTTCTTAAGATAAATTTTAAAATTTCTTGCCACCTGAACACATGCCTTTCCATATTTCGACCAAAATTACATACAGTGAAAGACTGTAATCTTGATACTTGCGGGGTGAGGAAGTGGGGTGAAGGAAGAAGGAGGAAAGGTAGCGTCTGCCTTCAACGCTTCGGACTTCCTCGTATAACTTGTCCATCTCATCCTCAGAATACCGCTGAAGAGTAAAAATGTTGAAGCTCCTCATAACGACATTTTCTCCAACTTCCTGTCACCTCATTTCTACTACGTCAGATTATTCTTTTCAGTATCCTGTTCTCATAGATACTCAATCTGTGAAATAAATAGATTTTTGTTGTGGTAAGGATACTTATGAAGTTCTTTGGAGAAACGCTGTCTCCATCATCAGGGCTGAAACTATGATATCTATCGATGAGTCTATATGGCACCAAAACCCATAATAAGATATTATATCTGAGTTATTCTCTTGATGTGAGATAAATTCGTATATTTCAATATTTACATGATAACAGACGGGAGGACAAGATTCAGTTGGAAAGACAAAGCGACGGAAAGAACCGACAGTGACCTGTTTTAATGTGCAATTCCGGGATTTTCCTGAAGGGACTGAGGAAAACAATAAAATGCATCAGCTGATTTACGTCTGTGTACTTCCTAAACGCGAGTCAGACGCGTTATACCTGCACCAATACACTTGATGAAAGGATTATTATCAACAGGTCATGGTAATCGGCAAATTTAATTTCACATCAACTGTGTCCAGTTTGTGGCAGCTGCTGTACTCAAGAGTACTCTTTTACCTGCTTTTAGGTCAGCTTTAGCTGCCATGATAAAAAGAAACACCTAAACTCTTTTCAAGAGCGTTCCATTTGGGAATATAAAAATACGACACAGACCTTAGTAAAACATCGGAATTATTCCTGTTCCCATAAACTGGCTCGTCCTTGGGTTAATTTCCCATGAAGTACGTTATTTTTTAATCATCACTAGCGTCCGTTCGAGAGAACAATTAAAAAATTACATTTTCTGTTATTAGCACCATTTTAATATCTTTTTCATTAACAATAAATACATGGATGAAAGTTCCTCTTGAGAAGCTGACAGTCGCTCATCCAGGAAAGATATTTTTTGCTTCTTTGGAAACCTAATGTTCATTACCGTGTTTACAATACTTTATCCTGAGCCAGCCTTATCCAATCAACACCT